AGTTTTGTTTGATTAGACTTATTTGTTACCAGAGAGAACTTCTATTTAGGGGTAACAGGTGAATTACTTAGTAGTGATAGAGATGGGGAAAGAAATCAATGGAACAATGCCCTCAAAAGTCACTAAACTGGACACTCTCTTTGACTCAGTGATGCCACTACAAACCCAGTACCCCAAAAAGATCAAAGAAGGAGGGGAAAGATGTGTACAAATTAAGAAGCTCTTTTTTTTTCTTTTAGCAAAAAGTTGGAAACAAAGGGGGTACCTATCTATTTGGGAATGGCTGAACAAATCATGGTATATGAATGTAATGGAATATTATTTCATCATAAGAAATGACAGAAGGGATGGCTTGAGAGAAACTTGGGAAGACTTGTATAAATTGCTACGCAGAGTGATGTGAGCAGGATCAGAACAATTTTTACAATAACATTATAAAGACAAACAAACAATTTTGAAAGATTTAAGAGCTCTGATCAACACAATGATCAACCTTGATACCACAGGACCAATGACAAAGCAAGTATGCTGCCGGCCCATCTCCTAGCAGAGGTAAAAGACTTGGTGCAGAATGAAGCATATGTTTTTGGACATGGCAGATCTGTCTGTTTGTTTTGCTTATTTTCTGCAAGAATTTCTTCTTCTTCTTCTTTATTTGAAAGGAGAGAAGAGAGGAACTAGCAGTTATATTGCTCCCCTCCAAAAAAAAAAAAAAAGGATGAAAGGAAAGAAAAGGTCATTGCAGCATTTTTTTAAACATAAAAGAGAGCAGAAGGTTCAAAGGAAGACAGAGAGGCACGACAGCTTTGAAAATGACATAATGGATCTGTTATACACTTTAAAAAAAGCAAGCTATACACAGTGGACATACACAGTTTCACTTAGAATACTCTTTTTCTATTCTGCTTTGTATATGGAAATACCCTTTTGAGGGTTCACTAAATTCAGAAAAAAGTAAAATTTTTTAAAAAGCATCAATAAAACATTTAAAACACAGGAGAAAACCAAAATGTTTAGAAGGGGACAAAGAGGGCGTTTTTGTTGTTATCCTGTTAAATTTAATATACACTTATTAAAAAAAATATGTTCCATATACAATGTTGTTTCTTTGTTCTTGGACTATCAAAATGTTTGTTGATGCTTGAATTCATAATTTAAAAAAGAAAAATAGTAAGTAGGTTGCAATAAATGATTGCTAAGGTCCCTTCTACACTCTAATAACGACAACAACAACAATAAGGGTAAGGCCTGGGAAATTTTAGAGAGGAGAGCTTAGGAAGCAGAATTCTCCTGGAAAGTTTAAGGGACCCCGGGAATTTGTAAGTTGACTTTCCTCTTGTGACTACCTGGAGAGAAACATTCTTGAGGTCTGGAGCTCATAGAAACAAGGGAAAAGGGAGATGAAAGAGCAGCTTTCTAGATTGGGGCATCCAGTTATGAATGGCGGCTCAGAAAGGGCAGGGATTGGAGAGGTGAGTCATGCAGGCTCAAGGAATCCTAGCAAGCCCAGAAGTCTTGGGCTTCAGGAATCTTGGAAATCTCAGACACTGGTGAAAGATGAAGGCTCTAGGGGGGAAGGAGCAAAAGGTCCCCTGAATTTGCTCTGAGAAGAGGCTGGCAGGCAGGTTGCAGATCACTAAGGTAGGAGGACCCTTCACAACTGTTGAGCCTTTCCAGGATTTTTTTTTTAAACAATAAGTTCTCAAAATATTAACTACTGGCTGACTCATCTTGCACTGAAGTCACACCCAGAGCCCCAGGGAAAAAGTCATCTTCTACCCTTAAGGCTCTATGCTCCTGGACATCAAAGGCAAACATTCCCCAGAGAATAAATGAAATTAGAATTTCCAAATTGGAAAGGGGTTCTAAAGGTGCCTGATCCAACTTTGCTTGGAGGACAGAATTTCTCTTGGAAATACCCACAGGTGGTCATCCAGCCTAAGCTAAAGCACCTTGCCACATCCTGAGGCAGCCCAGGGCTCACCTGAACAATTATGCAATTAGTAAACTTGGCTTCCTGCATCTGCTTCCACTTGTGTCCCAGCTTTCCTTTACGGGATCTGCCCTCTGGGATGAAGCAGAACACTTTAATCCCTTGTTCCCAGATACCCTTTTTTAAATATTTGAAAGTTACAATCAAGTGCTCCAGCCTTCTCTCCTCCAGGCGAAATTCCTTCAATGTGTATTCCTTCAGCTCAGCCTTAAGCTAGTCAATCAGCACACAAAAGTCTGGGGGGGAAACTCAAGAAAAGCAGATTTGGAAGGGAGCTCATCTCATTGAACCCTTGCTCCAGATCATTTGGCTAGTTAGTGACAGCTATACTCGAATGCCTCCCAATCGAGGGTTCTTTCCTCATAAGGAGTTGTGAAAAATTGAGCTAGTGCTGCAACAAAACCATAACCTGGGTGGGATGCATGACGTTTTGGGCTGGGGCACTGAGCTTTCTGGGCAGCCAGGTGGTGCAGTGAATAGAGTGCCAGGCCTGGGGTCAGGAAGACTAATCTCCCTGAGTTTAAATCTGGCCTCAGACACTTATTAGCTGTATCATCCTGGGCAAGTTACTTAACCCTCTTTGCCTCAGTTTCCTCATCTGTAAAATGAGCTGGAGAAGGAAATGGTAAACCACTCCAATATCTTTGCCAAGAAAACCCCAAATGGGGTCACGAAGAGTCAGACATGACTAAACAACAGTAACTGAGCTTTAGAGGGTGATGACAGCTCGTGTACTCCTTCAGTGGGTAGAAACAGCTGATGGGTAAATGACACGTAGGGGGCCACATTCACCCTGAAGGTCTTCTGGCCCACTGTGCTTACAAGACAACTCCCTGGCCACCATTTCTATTCATCCTAGACTCACTGAGTCCCTTTGCTGGCACCTAAAGTTGCCTGACTGCGTCCCACTTCTGCCTCATGAAGGGGTTGGAGTTCCCTACACGAAAATCCTAATCTCAAAACATGCCTATGGCATGTAGCTTCGTCAGATTCACAGACAGACCTATGCCACAATGAAGATGAGCAGGTGTGTGCCAAGGTGGGCTGCCAAGGCTTTTGAGCACTGTCAGAAGCCAGGAGTGCTGGGCACAGGGGCCAGGATAGCCAATCCCAGCTAGGAATCATGGGGGTGGGGGTGGGGAGGTCCAAGCAAAACTTCTGCCAGAGCACCAGATCAATAACATCTTAAGAACTTGCTTTAAAAGCCACAAAGAGCTCAAAAGAAGGGTGTTGTTTTTGTTTTCAAAACCAACAAACATGTCTTACTCTCCTTACTCTCATTTCAATTACATTTTAAGGTTTACAGTGTGGGGGTGGACCTGACAATCCCTTCCAGATCTAAATATATGAAACTATGATTCCCATTTGACAGATGAGATAACTGAGGACCAAAGGAAGGAAACCAATCCCTCCCCTGGTCCCAAAGCCATCAGCACACAGCATGGTAAGGGATCTGCTTTCCAAATTTCACAATATACTGAACCATGTGATGTTATGGGTCTACAAAGCCTTTCCCTCACAAACCCCTGGTAGGACAGAGGTAATGTAAGTGTTCCCATTTTACGGATAAAGGAACAGTGACTTCCTAGGGTCATGCTGCTGGTCAGTTTCAAAGCTGGGACTTGAATTCAGCTGAATTCACTTATAAAGGTTTTATAAGGGGCTTGGGAAGCCAGGGGGTGTATGTCAGGGGGTAGAACAACTCAGATATTATCTGACACCTACTTCATATGCGCACAGGCAGAAAGACTAGCCACAGTACCCAGGATTCAGAAGTAATGTGCCTCAAACAGTGTAATGTATGTTTCATATGGGGTGCAGGAAATAATCCTGGAGTATGGCAGTTACCCATTCCAGTCTCACATACTCCTCACTGTCCTCTCACGCCTCCATACTTTTTGTCAGGCCAGGCCTAGAATGACCTCCTTGTCTTACCTCCTTTGTACTGACATTCCTTGATTTTGATCTAGATCTGTGATTTCATGTTTGGGAACTCCCATGGGAAACTTCCTCCATGATACATACTGGCAACTCATCTGTAGCCTTATGGAGTAACCTGGGAATGTGGCTTGGCCCTGGTCATTCAGGTCGTGCCCATCAGAGGCAGAATTTGAACCCTGCTCTTACAGGCTCCAAGGCTAGCTCTCTGTCCACTCTACCACACTGCTTCTCACTGCATTCCAAAGATTTCCTCAAGTGGCACCTCCTCTGGGGAACCTTCTCTGATATCTCTATCATTAATGCCTTTCCCTCTCAGATCTCACACAACACTTTGTCCCTCTGATGAATTTATGTAATATGATGAATCAAAATTACCTATGTGGGTATCATCTTCCCACACTGGGGTCCCCAAGAGGCCAAGAACAACCTTAGTGATCTCTCCCAGACCTAAGCACAGCACAGGGTAGTGTGGCTCCTAGCAGACAGTTCAACTGAACTGAAAAAAATCTGCCCCAATCTGCCATGAGTTCAACTACCTGATTCAAAGCCAATGTGCCTAAGGATGGATTCCCAGGTGATGCATTTGCCTCAAGGTAATTTCTAATAAGGATTTGCCAGACTCCCAGCATTTCCTGTGGAGCAGGAAGGTGTCAGCCCCTGGGAAACATTTTTGCTTCCTTAAGGTAACAGCCTTTCTGCATTGATCACTAAGCCACTCAACCCCTGCGCACACACCTGCAATTAGGTGCTGAATATTCTCTGAATGTCCCACCCCCATGTGACCCTCAGAAGTCACTTCATGGCTCTGAAGCTGTTCTTTCATCAGTAAAGTACAAACATTTATATTACCTTTATCATAGAAAGGATTTTGAGCAAAGAGTTTTGCAAACCTTCAAGAATTATTGAAATGTGAGAACAGTAGACGAAAATGTCTCCCTCTCTTTGGGGCGGCCAGGACTTTAACTGCTTGAATGTGTTTTTAAGGACCAGAAACAAGGAGACTCCAAGAATGAAGAAACCATAAGCTCCTAAGGATATTTTGTTTTAAAATCTTTTAATATCTCTCTCTTAAGTAAAACAAAAAGATTGCAGTTTTTCTGAGATAGGGGATGAGAATGGCTGGGGTAACCGAGGAGAAAGAGAGCTTGGGATGCGTGGTCCCTGGGGCATCTGTGGGGGCAGCCACAGGAAAAAGAGTTTGGGACTTATAGTCTCTGGGGCACCTGTCCGGGCAGCCACAGGAGAGACCTTGGCACCTGTGGTCCCCGGGGAACCTGTCGGGGTAGCCACAAGGCAAGCAGAGGTTGCAGTGGTGGAGGGTAGGCCTGGACAACAGAGGACAGGATAGCTCTGCTTGGGCCCTCAAGTCCCCACTTCTTGTTAGAAAAGCAAGAGACGGGGCGTCCCCTGCGTGGCTGGGCCTGCCCTCTCCCAGTTTTGGCTGACCACATGCCAGCATCAGCTCCTTGGGAGGAAGAGGGGATATACATGGACAGAAATGTACAGGCCTTGACACAGATCTAGTATGGTGGATTAAATACAGTCTCATCCATAAAGTGCTTATTGGAGGGGAACTGGTGTAGGAGAGAGACCTGGTCACTACATTCAGGTGTCTGAGGGACGGACAGGGTGATATGGCTGGCCACCAATCTCTCTTCTTCCCCTGCTCCTTGCAAAGAGGCCCACACAGCAGTTCTGGACCCCCACTCAGGGTAGAGAGAGCAAAAAGACTCTTGACTTGTTGGAAAAGTCAACTTGGTGGGGTCTGGGGTGGGAACGGGCCTTAGGGGCATTCTAGCTTGCCCCTCTCAGCACAGTGTAGGACAAAGGGGCACTAACTGCTCGCTCTACTACTCACTCCCTGCATAACCTTTATAGGAGTCATTTCCCTTCTCTGGGCTTCAGTTTCCCCCTCTGTAAGGCTGGTTGGATCAGACTACCTCTAAGGTCTGTTCCAGCCCCAAATCCTCTAAATCCTATGAAAAAGAAGGAGACAGAAGCCCAGAGAGAGGAAAGGACTTTCCTAGGTCATATAGCGAGATCATGAAAGAGCTGAGATTCGAATCCAAGGCTCTTTCCACCACCCCAAGTTGGTCAGTAAGTGGGCTTTCCAGGCAGGTTATTCACTTCAAGAATAAAGCCCCACGGGAGGCATAAATAGTAAAATCAAGGAAAGAAGGCATAGGTAGAGTAACAGAAAGAGCCCAGGACTGGGAATTGTGAGGTACAGGGACCACAGGCTCTGCTAGCAACTTGCTGTCAAACTGGCCAAGGTGGCCTCAGTTTCCATTTCTGTAAAATAGAAGTGATGGCCCCAGCCTGACCTTTCCTTTCCCCTTAGTTCACCCAATCCGGCCCTGCCCAGGTAGGGGGTCAGACAGAAGCCTCCCTGCCCTCCCCCCACCCCTTCCCTGAGAATCCCCAGCCCCAGTGGACAAGTGCAAACGTGTAGAAAATAAATTAATAAGTGACAGGGACCCTGGCGTTCCTTCCTCAGGAAGAGGGACGGGGGAAGGGCAGGGGCCAGCCTGTTACTGATCCTTGGTGCTGCTGAGCCCAGATTCCGCCCGGAGTTTCTGGCTGCTGGCTTCGTTGTAGCTAATCCAGTGCTGCAGATCCTCAGGGAGCTCAGGGGACTCCACCTGTGGGGGAGAAGCAGACAGGTGAGGGCCAAAATGGGTCCTGGCAGTGGCCCCCCAGTCCTGGCTTCCGATCCACGAGGGCCCCTCGGCTTCTAGCTCTGCCTCTAGGAAGCTCCTGCTGCCTGCCTTGGCCTATGGTCCATCTCAGGGTGGGGTCTGGGTTCTGTCCCTGACTTGTGAGTGCCAATGACCGCCCAGGCCCAACAGAACTGAATCTGACACAGGGAACCTCCTTCAGGATCCCAGAATTACTACTTACCACCTATCACTGGGTACATAAGATCTTTATTATCCTAACATTGGGCAAATGACTTCTTTTGGGGCCTCCTCTGTAAAATGAAGGTTGGGGATGAGCCTAAACTAGGGGTTAATGGAAAGATTTCAGGGGGTCCGTGAACTTCAGAAAAAAATCAATAACTATTTCAATATAAATGGTCTCCTTTATAATCTTACGTAATTTATTTTATGCATTTAAAGCATTAATCTGAGATGTCTATAGGCTTCACCAGATTGCCAAAGGGATCCAGGACAATAAAAAAAGGTTAAAAAACCCTGGGTCTAGATCAGGGCTGAGGAACCTGCGGCCTTGAGGCCACATGTGGCCCTCTCGGTGTTCAAGTGAGGCCCTTTGACTGAATCCAAACTTCACAGAACTTCTGATTTGGATTCAGTCAAAGGGCTGCACTTGAGGACTTAGAGAGCCACACGTGGCCTCGAGGCTGCAGGTTCCCCACCCCTTGTCTAGATAATCTTTAAAAAGTTCCTTCCAGTTCTAGAACCAATGAGCCAATGCAGATCAGAGCACCTCCCTGTCTCCGATACACACGAAGCTCATTCCTGCCTCCACACGGTTAGGACTATTTTCTGCCTTGACCTGGAAGGAGCTCCCCAAATCCCACCTATTCTCTTCCAGTCCCACGTCTTCAGGGAACTATTCCCTGGTCACCCCTGTCCTTGGCCTTCCCTCTGTGCCAGATCAAAAAAACATTTAGATGCATTCATCTGATCAAAGTGTACAGCAGTTAGCACACTACGGGTAGACAACCCGGCCCAGTCCAGCTGAGGCTATCAGACCCTAGAGGTCAGCTCACTGAACTCCTTCCTTCCATAAATGTTTATACCAATTTTACCGCTGAGGAAACTGAGGCAGGCAGAGGTTAAAAGCCTCACCCAGGGGTCACACAGCTAGTGTCTGAGGCCAGATCCTTCCTGATTCCAGACCCAGGGCTCTACTCATTGCACCAGAGCTCGCAGGGGTCCAGATGGAGCTTGGATCAGACGGGGTGAACATAATGAGAAGCACACTGCATTCTGAATCAGACTTGGGTTCAAATCCCATCTGTGACCTTGGGCAAGACACCTAGCTGCTGTGAACTCCACTCAGTTTACCTGGCTATAAAATGAGGGAGTTAGATTAGATGAACTCTGTGACTATGTGAGGGATTCTTAACCTTTTTTGTGACACGGACCTTTGGCCACCTGGTGAAACCTACGGTCCCCTTCTCAGAAGAATGTTTTTAAATGGATAAAATAAAATACAAAGGATTATAATCAATCAATACACATTTATCAAGTACCTACTAGGTGCCAGGCACAAAGGAATCTAATTATATTGAAATACTGTTATTAAAACACCTCCTCAAATCCAGGTTCATAAGCCCCAGGTTAAAAAGCCCTGCTATGCCAAGCACCAGACTCCATGACCTCCATCTGGCTGCTGGACAAGCCTCACCTCACCCCTGAGGAGCCTGGGTCACAGCACTCCCATACTCTGCTCAGGACACATGACAGACGTCTACCACCAGTCTCACTCTGTACACTGCACAAAATGCCAGCCTCCGCCGCCTGAAACTGCTCTTGGTGAGCCCCTTCCCCACTCCAAAACCTTGAGACTCCTATAGATACTGCTCCCAGCACCCCACAACACGTGGCTGAAAGGCCCCAAACTCACGTTTGTGGAAGTTCCCTCTTGATCCCAGCCAAACTTGCCTACACACACCCAAGGCTTCCTTTTCCTCCAAACCTGAAGGCTTTCCTGCTCCCCCTTCCAGGACCAGATCAAGTGTCCAGGGGGGTTCTTCTCCTCTGTCTGGAGGCTGGATCTGAACTCAGCTCTCCCTGTGTCTCCTATTAGAATTCTCCCCACTCCCACCCTTTTCTAAGGTCACTAAGGAGCCTCATTTAGGTGCTAGAGTAGATGAAGAAATAATGATCAAACACAATTCATAGCCTATGGTATTTTAAAGTTTACAAAGCAGTTTCCTCTTCATAACTGCCCAAGACAGATCATTCAAGCATTACCATCCCCCATTTTACAGATGAAGAAAATGAGGTTTCCAGATGAAGATGGCTTGCACTGGAGGTCCACGAACTTGAAAGGAAAAATAAAAGCACTTTTCTTTTCATTAACATCTAACTGAAACTTAGCATTTCCTTAAATTATTTAGAAAACATTACTCTGAGATGGGATCCGTAGGTTTCACCAGACTTCCCAACGGGTCTAAGACCTCTTGTCTTCAATGAAGGCACTGACGGATGGCATGGTCAACAGTGAAGATGACACAAAGTCTAGGAGGTACGACAGCTCACGGGTTGGATAACTCAGCCAAGGTCTGAAAAGATCCTGATAAGCTAGGATTCCTTCAATTAGGATGAGACTGAACAGGGACACACTCAGGCCCAAAAAATCAACTGGACAACAGAATGGGTGAGGCAGTCACATTTACATGAAAAAGAAATGGGGCTTGATGCCTGCAAGGTTAATATGAATCAGAAGCATGACATGGGAGTAAAGAAGGTTAATTGGGCTCTCTCTCTGGCTGCACTGAGAGATGCAGAGAAGCCACAAGAAGAGAGGCCATAGTCCCACTGTCTTTGGCCCAGGTCAGACCACAAGAGGAATACTGAGTTCAATCCTGGATGCCTCTTTTTCAGATGAAGGCTCCTTTGAGATATCCAGGAGGTAACCAGAAGGTTGAGATAACTAGAGAGAGTGTCACAGGACGAGCAGTTGATCTGAGGATGTTTAGCCTGGGAAGGAGATGATTTAGGGGGAATATGACAGCTATCTTCAAGTGGCTGAACAAGTATCCTTAGAAGAGGAGTAAGACATGGTTTGCCTGACCACAGAGGGAACTAGGTTGGATGTCGTTAAGTGGGAGAGACAGATTTCAACATAAGGAAACACTTCCTAACGTGAGAATGGTCTGAAAGAGCAAAGAGCCAACTCTGATGGTAGGGAGCTAGGAGGAACAGTGGGAAAGGAATCAGGAAGATCTGAGTTCAAATCCAGCTGCAGAAACTCACTAGCTATGTGATTCTGGGCAACTTACTTCATTGCTGCCTGCCTCAGTTTCCTCATCTGTAAAATGGGGATAGAAATAACACATACCACCCAAGGTGGCTGTGAGAATCAAATGAGATAATATTTGTTAAATGTTTTGCAAATCTTAAAGCATGAGATAATAGAGTGCTATTATGATTACCTTGTTTGACTTGGGACATTATAGAGGGACTTTATGCTCAGTTTTGGGTTGGACTAGATAACTTCCAAGGTCCTTCCTAATTCTGGGATTCTGGAAACTCCCTGACTTTGGGTTCGGTCCTCCTCCCCACTCTCAGACCCTGCAGGTTAAGCTCAGAACTGCTCAGAATTACCTATCTGGCTCAAATGTCCTGAGATGCTGTTATTGCTTAAACACCAAGGAAGATTCAGGAGACCTGTGATCTACCACTTGTTATCTGGATCTCGTCAAACCATCTCCTTCCCTTCTGGAGGGCTCAGTTTTCTCATCCGTAAATTGGCCCCAATCACTAAGACATCTACCTCACAGGAGAAGCAACTGAAGTAATACGGAGCAACATGAGCTTTCCTGACGAATGATAATGAGGAGATGATGTGAAAGACTCCCTAGGGTTTCTTCCAGCTCTCACATTCTGCGATTACATAATCCAACCCCCTCCCTTGACGGTCTGCCCCTGCAGTGTCTCTGCCCTAGGTCACACGGTGAGTGAGTCCTTGGCAGGGCCAGCATTAGTGGCAAGAGCACTGAACCCTAGGAGAGTCAGGACCCCTGGCTTCCAGTGCTGCTCTGTGACTTTGGTCAAGTCTCCCTGGGAGCCCCTGGTTTTATCTTCTAAAGTAACTCCCAGGCCTCACATTCCATGTTCGAAGGTTCCTTTGACTTTCTATACTCTATAATAATAGTTCATAATTACATGACCCTTTAAGGTTTGAGAAACACGTTACATATGTCATCTCATGTCATCCTAACAACCAAGTAAAGAATTACATAAATGTAAATATATATGTAAAATATATAATGTAAATATATGTAAAGAATTATATATATGTTGTATATTATAATTAAATGTAATTCAGTATAGAGATGGGGCATAGAGAGGTTTGGTAGCCTGACAATTGTCACAGAAGACAGCAAATGTCAGAAGTGAGATATAATTAATAATAGTAACTAACATTTGAATCCAAGTCTCCTTTGACACCAAGTCTACGGCATTTACCACCATAACATCCTACCATAAAGCTTTCCCCAATTCCTTCCGTAGTTAGGGCTCCATCCCTCCTCAAATTAACTTCTAGTCTCTTATCTGAGCATATTCTGTAATCATCCCCCCCCCCCACTGAATATAAGTTCTTTGAGGGCTGAATACTTTGCACTTTTTATTTCCTTGTGCACTGACTTGCACAAGGCCTTAAATATAGCAGGTAATTAGTTACAAGCATTCCATATTCTAAAGCTATGCTGGAATTCTATGTTCCAAAGTCTAGACTTTATTGCATTACACTTAACTGACATGGGTGTGGCTGTAGTCCAGGAAGATTATGCAGGACAAGTCAAGAAGATGCTAGAATTAATAGAAAACTCTACAGCCAAATGGCCTTCCCTGCTCTGACATTCTGCAATGCAGGGGCCTTTCCTGATTTGACATTCTACACTCCAAAAGCCCTCTCAGCTCCCAGAATGTCAAGTTCTATGTTCTGCCACTCTGTGTTCTAAAGTCCCTCCCAGCTCTGACTTTCCATACTCTAAGTTCCTACCCAGTTCTGATACTGTGTTCTTAGGTCCCTCCCAGCTCTGACATTCTGTGTTCTAAGTTCCCTCCCAGCTCTGACATTCTGTGTTCTAAGGTCCCTCCTAGGGTAGCTAGGTGGCGCAGTGGATAGAGCACTAGCCCTGAAGTCAGGAACCCTGAAGTCAGGAGGACCCGAGTTCAAATGCGGCCTCAGACCAAACACTTGACACTTACTAGCTGTGTGACCCTTGGCAAGTCACTTAACCCCAATTGCCCAAAACAAAACAACCAACAACAACAACAAAACAACTAAGGTCCCTCCTAGCTCTGACTTTCCATATTCTGAGTTCCTACCCAACTCTGATATTCTGTATTCTATGGTTTCCCCACCCACCCCTACTCCCCAGTTCTGACTTTCTATATTCTAAGTTTCTACCTAGCTCTGATATTGTATTGTATGGCCCTCCCAGCTCTGACACTGAGTTGTTCTAAGGTCCCTCCCAGCTCTGACATTCTCCAGCTCTGACATCCTGTTTTATATTCCAGAGGAGCTCCCAGTCCTAACATTTTAGGATCACAGGCCATGTAAATTAAGATGAAAATTAGATGGTGGTGATGGGGAGAAATGGTAGGGACAGAGAGTAGGGGAGGCAGGGGATTGAGCAAAGGGAACAGACACTGAGTTAGCAGGTGAGAAGGGAGAAGAGAAAGGACATCAGTTGTGGTACAATAGAGCCAGAGGGCCCAAAAGACATTTGCTAGAGGGTTTGCCCTGAACTATTAGGAGATGGCAGGGGGCACTGGAGGGAATGTGAATTAAGAGATTGGAGGCAGAGGGATGCAGGAGGCAATCGAGGCAGGATGCCTTACTGTTTATAGGGTCGAGGTTGCTGGGGGTACAATGCAGGTAATGCATGGGGAGCTAGGGGTGGGGAATGATTGGTGCACACAGGGATGTCTGCTTTGGGGATGCCATTCAGGGGGCACTGGGAAGGGTCATTTAAAAGGAGGTGTTGGCACATTCGGGGATGTCATTCGGAGGGAGTTCTAGGGGGAAGGTGCTGCATGCAGGGATATCTGCTTGGGGGATGCCATGGGGGACTTCGGGGGTGATTAGAAGGAGGAAGTTGGTGCATGTAGAGATGTCATCGGGGGGAGCTCTTGAGGGTGGGGGAAGGTTATGTCTGCTCGGGGCAGGCCATCCAAGAGGAGCTCTCTTGGGGAGGGGGGCGTTGCACATTAAGGAGGGCCAGGGAGGGTATTCGGCTGCGGGTCCTGACCAGCGGGGAGTAGGGGCTCGCTCACCCGCCTCTTGCACAGGTACTGCACCACCTGGTCGGGCGTGGTGCCCAGCACGTGCTGGCGGAAGAGAAGCAGCGCGCACACGAAGCCGTCGCGGCCACTGATGAAGCGGGACTCCAGGTAGAAGGCGCGGCCGTCCCAGCCGAGCAGGCGGGTGCGCACCTCGAAGGGCTCCAGCAGGCGCAGCGAGCGGCGGTAGCGCGCGCAGGAAGCGGCCAGCACCGCGTGCGCCCCGAGCGCGCGCAGGGCCCCGAGCACCCCGCAGCGCGCCAGGTGCGCGGCGCGCGCCACGTCCGCCTCGCGCAGGTAGCGCGCGTTATTCATGTGCCGCAGCAGGTCCAGGTCAGAGGGCAGCACGCGGCCCGCGTAGGTCTGCTCAGCCAGCAGGTCGCGCACGGGCGGCTGCAGCAGGCGGGCGCGTAGCACAGCCAGCGGTACGCGCACCAGGTACCAACCGTCCAGCAGGGAGAAGTAGGCGGCCGCCAGCCCCAGCGCCACCAGCAGCCACAGCATCCCGGCGGCGGCAGCAGGCGGGGACGGATCGGAAGGCTGGCGGGCAGCGAGGGAGCGAGCGCACGCCGGATGCGAGGGCCCCCCCGCGGCCTGGGGACGGGGAGAGAGACCAGGAGAGAGAGACGCACTGAGCGAATGCGGCGCATGGGAGAAACCACCCGCAGAAGCCGGGCGAGGGGGGAAAGTGCGAGGCTGGGCGGCCCCCGCAACGTGGCTCCGCCCTTCCGCACGCTCTCCCCCCCGCCCCTCCCAGTCTTGGTTCGTTCCGCCGCCGGGTCCAGCTGCGCCGGCTTTCTCTTTTCCCACCCGGAGCTCTGGGGTCACTAGCCCCGAGTGTCATCCCCTCCAGATTCCCACTCAATGCTGTGAGAGCTACGGCGCCACCTACCGGCCGAGTCCCGGAACTTCAGTCCCCCACAGGCCGATGATTCTCGGGGATATTCCAAGGCTCTCTGGGATGTGCAAGTCGGCAGCTGCTGCTGCAGGCTGAGGTCCTGGCCAGCTGGTCCAGCGTGCCCAGCGCGCAGCTCTCCACCCCCCGCCCCCCTCAGGAGAATGCAGCAGTCCAGAAGCCAGGCTCCTCCCCAGAATTCATAATACGTTTCAGGGCAGAGGCACACCACTCCCGGAGTGGGGGTTGGGGGGAATGTTGGCTTTGCCCTAAGGAGGGTAACACGGTGATGTGCTACATGCGTTAGATTCAGTGTCAGAAAACTCGTAGATTTCATAGGCAGTTAGGTGATGCAGTGGATAGAACGCAGAGCTTGGAGTGAGGAAGATCTGAATTTGAACCTGCCCCAGATGCCTACTAGCTGTGTGACCCTGGGCCAATCTCAATCTCAGTTATTTTCTACACAAAAGGGATAAATAGGAGTGAAGGAATACAACAACAGCACCTCATGGGATTGTTGTAAGGATGACTATATAAATTCTAACTAGTTATCATCATCATCATTACCAAAAGGAGATTTGGAGCTCCTCTAATTTGCTTTTGCTAGTTAATGCTGAAGCTAGGGCTCCTAGTACAATGATTATCTAATTAGTCTCCTAATAAACTCCTTGACTTCTGGCAACTCATTTCCCTTTCCTGGGCCTCACTTTTTCTTCTCTGTAAAATGATGGGCTAGAGCAGAGGTCCTTAACCTGGGGTTCATAGACACTCTCTAATAATTAATAGTAATAGTAGATACTCTAATAATTAATAATAATAATAATAATAATAATAATAATAATGGTAGATTTCAAGTTGTCTGTCAACTAGAATGGGGAAAAGTGACGTCTTTATTTTTAATTATCTTTTACTTGAAATTTATCATTTCCTTCAAATATGAATGTAAGCAGAAACCCATAGTAGTCCGCACCAGACTGCCAGAGGGGTCCATGGCACAAAAAAGGGTTAAGAACTCCTGGGCTGGAGAATCTTTAAAGTCCCACAATGCAGCTCTAAATCCTATAACCCTCCTTTTTCTCCATGGCAAGAAAGGGGACTTGGAGTCAGAAAGACCTAGGTTTAGATATGGCGACAAACACTTTCTGACCCTGTGACCTTGAGCAAATCACTTAGCCAACTGCTCAAAGTCTCAGTTGCCTTATATGTGAAATAGTTATAAAACAATGCCTACTACCCAGAGTCCTTGGGACAGACAAGTAAGGTAGGTACCTATTGGGTACAAATAGGGTGCGTACCACCCAGCTGGGTACCCACTGAGTTGCACAAGTCTAGGTAGCAGCAGGTCTATGGGTGCTTTTGGCCAATGCTATCAGGGTTTGAAGCTTGACAATTGGCCTCACTGGACTTGGTAAAGCTGATGTTACCTGTGAAAGGGTAGCCTGTGGGGAAGATGGGGGAGAAAGGAGAGTGATGGAAAGTCAGGGTTGAGTAAGAAGATTTTCCCAATTTTGGCCCTCTTTCTCCAGCTCCATTTTACTGTTGATGGTAGCAGGTACCCTCCCAGTGACCCAAACTCAAAACCTCAGTATCTGCTCACTCTCCCTCATCCCACATATCCAATCCATTGCCAAATCTTGTCCATTTTACCTTCAAAACATCTTATGTTTATGTTCTCTTCTGTCCATGTACACAACTACCACCCTGGTACAAGCCCTGACCACCTCTTGCCTGGACTATTCCAGTAGCCTTCTGGTCGACCTCCTTGCCTCCAATCTCTCCCTACTCCAATTCATCCCACACTCAGATCTTCCTACAGCATGGTTCTATGTCACTACCCTCTCCTTACTCAATAAACTTTACCAGCCCTATTATCTCCAAGATCAAATGTGACATCTTTTGTTTGGCATTTAAAGCTCTTCCTAACCTGGCCCCTTCCTACCTTTCCAGTCTTATATATTACCCCATGTACATACTCTATGATCCAGTCATATTGGCTTGTTCACTGTTCTTCACATATAACTCTCTGTGTCCTGTCTCCATACCTTTGTCCTGGCTATCCCCCATGCCGGGAGTGTGCTCCTTCCCTCCTTCCCTCCTTCCCTCCTTCCCTCCTTCCCTCCTTCCCTCCTTCCCTTCCTCTGCCTCGGAGAATCTCTGACTTCCTTCAGGACTCAATTCAGTTGGTCACCTTTTACAGAAGGTCCTTCCCCCATCCCCTCCAGCTGCTATAGGTTACCTTCCTCCAATCTACTCTATACTCTATTTATTTACATTAAAACAGAAGTTTCTTGAAGGCAGGGACCATGTTTTTGCCCTTTTTTGTATTACTAATGCTTCTTGGCACAGGACACATAGTAAATGCTTAACAAACGTTCATCTTATCCATCTTAGCCAACCTCATCATTTTACAGATGAGGACACTGAAGCCCAGAGAGGGTCAGATGTCACACAACTAGAAAGTGATGAGGCTGAAATTAGAACTAAGGTATTGTGACTTTTAAGTCCATTTCTCTCTTCAGCCATGCTCCTCCCTACCTCCTTCATAGACCACATGTTCTATGGTTTCGGAGTCTTCCTGACTCTGACCGTGCACTCCTCCTGCCTTGTTACCAGGGAGCAAATTCTTACCTGAATCTACAGAGTGTTCTCTGGTGAGACAGGTCATGTGAAAAGGAGGGCACGTGCTGATGTTCTTGCATGTGGCAGTGTCCGTGGGTTGCTGGCAAGTGTAGCATCTCAGAACCTGACCTGGCATGAGAGGAGGGAAAAGTGAAGGATCAGCTGAGAGATGGCTTGGGTCTGTCCTTACCTCAGCCGGTCTTTACATCTGAGCAGCCTTTAATCGTGTTCTATAGCCTTCTCACAGCTGTTATCATATGGAATTCCCTCACTTTCAGCCTCTTCCTTAGGAAGCTTCCTGGATAGACCCAGCACATCCTACCATCTGTTCTGGGTGCCCTCTCACTGTATTGTGTGTGGGTGTGTTTGGGCATATTTAGAATCTATTGTGTGTCGTCCTTCAGATGGGGGCTCCTTTCCCCCACCTCTGAGGGATATGTAATCTTCTCCTTCATGAAACCTTCAATCTGCAAAGAGAGATAAGTCTTCTCAGGTAAGTTTCTGCAAAAGATTATCTACATGCCAACCTGGTAGGGGGCAAAAGGTAGGACCACCCAGAGGGAAAATGAGAAAGGGCTAGAATTAGATAGGGGCAAGGGGAGAGAGAGAGTGGGGGGATGGGAGAGAGAAAAAGGAGGAGAGAGAAGATACAAGGATGGAAAAGATGAGAGAGAAAGATGGGGGGGTGAGAGGATGAAAAGGCATATAGAAGGAGAAAGAGACATAGGCAGAGAAAGACAAAAGCAGAGACAGAGAAGGGGAGAGGCAGACAGAGAAAGAGAAAGGATCAGAGAAATGAGAAGTAGAGATGGGGGACAAGTCAGTAAGCATTTATTAAGCGCTTACTATGTGCTATGAGTGCCCAGCCTAAGTGCCCAGCACCCAGGGAACACATAATAAAACCATGTTGATTGATTGAAACACTTACTGTATACAGGACCCTGTTTTTAGGACTGGGGACAGAAAGATGCAAAATGCCATAGCATTTGTGTTCAAGGAACAGTCTAGTAGGGAAGATAAGCCATTTACCTCCAAAAAATTGTAGCATGCATTAAAGTCCCATGATTGCAAAGGAGAGGTCCAGGCAAAGACCTGCAAGTCTCCTGGAGATGGGAGTCATTTTCAGGGTGTAAGGCAGCTGGAGGGAGTGGTGGGCGATAAGGAAAGCTTCCTGAAGGAGTTGATCCCCTCCCCCCAAGCTGGACTTGAAGGGAAGGAAAATCCATTGATTTCAACACCCACAGTGAAATGCATTTAGAAAAACATTGTACTGTACTAATAATAACAACTGATCTCACATGGGTTTAGTCCTTTAATATGTTACAAAATGTATTCCCATCCACTCTCTCATGTGAATGAGGTGATAAAGATAGCTGACACTTATGTTGTATTGTCAAGTTTGCAAAGATAGACACACACATATACATAGACACACATAGATACAAATGTATCTATGTGTATCTATGTATATGCAGAATCTCAGTAGATATTGATCTTCACAATAACCCTGTGAGGTAGGTATTATTTATTATACTTAGGTGAGGAAATTAAGAGCTCAGAATGGTCAAGTAATTTCCCTAGGTTCATATAGCTAGCAAGTATCTGAGAGAGGTTTCAAATCCAGATCTTTCTGATTTAACATTCAGAACACTATCTGCTATGTCCCAGGGTCTCCCCTTTGAAGATAGGAACAGTAAAACTTGAAGGCGGGGAGGAAGGATCATTTTCAAATATATTATAGATGAAATTCAAAGTCCTTTGTTTAAGAAAGGGTCAAGCTAGATGGCCTCTGAGGTCAATCAATAAATGAGCATTTATTGAGCACCTACTATGTTTTGTTTCGTTTTTTTTTTTTACAAATACTGTGCATTTATTAAGTATCTACTGGGATGCAAAGATAAGAGTAAAACAAAACAAAAACCCATCCCTTCCAAATCTGAGATTCTCTGAGACTCGTTCCAGCTCACATCATCATCATCATCATCATCATCATCATCATCATCATCATCATCATCATCATTGTCATAGCTTGCATTTATATGGCACCTACTATGTGCCAGGCACTATGCTAAGTGTTTTAGCAGTATTATCTCACTTAGATCTTCACAACACCCTAGGGGATAGGAGCTGTTATTAACCTCATTTGACAGAGGAGGAAACTGAGGCAAACAAAGGTTAGGTGACTTGCCCAGGATCAGATAGCTATTAAGTGTCTGAGGCTGGATTTGAACTCAGATCCTCCTGACTCCAGGCCCAGTGTTCTACCCACTGCATCCTCAGCTTGCCTCTAGGACTCAGTGATAGAGCAAGGGAGAAAACATAAGTCCCTT